GATCTCTAATCTGGGGTTGGCTCGTGGCTGCCAAAAAGAATTTTGGGAAAACAATGGCTAGGACCGCCTCTAGGGACGAGTGCTGGTTTCTGGCATTGGTGAGAGTTGAAATTTGGTAGAGGAGCCGATTGGACATCTCTAAAGCCAACAAAATGGGTGATGTCGGCCACCTTCCAGCATTGGTTGGAGATACCTTTGGCCCACAGTTGCTCTTTCTATCTCTTGCTGGCGGCAGTTTTAGACTTTTAGGTTATTATTTTCTTTTTTCTGTTTTTTGGGCTTTACGAAGAAAGAAAGATCAGAGTGTTTTGGGAAGCAGAGGTTGTGTATTGGGAAGCAGGTTGCTGCATAACCTACGGAAACACGTGAATTGAATTTAGGAACTGGTACCTACTGATATACGATAACAAGAGGAGGAAAATAAAATTTAGAGAAATTTTATCAAGAACCAAAATTAGTAGATATTAGATCTCCATAATAAAAGAAATATCTCAATATTTTAACAATTATCATAAATAGTTTACTTGGTTATTAAGTTAGAATACGTTATTTATATGCACAAAAAATAGAACAAAAGTAGAAGATATAGAAAAACTAGAAAATAGTAAATAAGTTAAATAAAAAGACTTAGGAAAAGAGGAAATCTTTCTATTTCCCTTTATCGTAAAATTTTCCAAAACTTTTATTTCTACTAGAAAAGAAAATTAAATCTTCCTATTCCCTTTAGTATAAAACTTCTTAGTTGTATATCTTCCTTTATTGGTTATGCTTCATTCTCCTATTATTATAATTTGTCGATTCATTTTCTACATTAATGAATCTTTCTTTTTCTTTTTTTTTGGGATGAAAAGAAATACTATTATTAATGGATTGCAATGGATCCTCCTAAACAGATAATATAAAGAGTAAAGGAGAGAACAAAATCTATAAAACTGGACTCTAATCTCTTGATAAAATAGCCAACCGGATATCACTATAACGTCCATACATCCAAAATTACCTAAGTGATGTCTCTAGAATGCCTTTACCAAAGAGATTTCTATATCGATAAATGCATCGCAAAACATCAATTCTTCAAACGAAACTGTTTCTTTCTTTTGTTTTTTTTTTCCTTTTTTTTTTCTCTTAGAAGAAAGCTTGTATTCTATAAGTACAAGCCAATGCACCCTATGGGTAGGTCTGATCGAATATACTTCACTATCTTTAATGACATCGAAGATGACCTGCATGGGCTGCTTTCTTAAACAGCCATTTGATTGAATTGTGTGGTGAACCTTTAGTAGTTGGTCAAATCATGCAAGCCTGTGTTTGTAAGGCATCCCAAACAGTTCTTCGTTCAAGTCTGATGACTTCAGAGTTGCTTTGTTGAGGCCTTAATTTGGTTCAAAGTGATATATTCTCCAATTTATTCTGCACAGTAATTATCAATTTGAATTTTTTGGTGTTACACAGGAAGCAGCTAGAAACAACAATGGGAAAGCTGCACATTCAGCATGGCGGAACTATGATGATTTCAACGAATACTTTTGGTATGTTCCTTAAGAAATATCTGATATAACTTAAAGTATGCCAACTTCAAAATATTTTCTTCTGAAATGTCATGTATGTGCAGGTCTCCTGCTTGTTTTGAGTTAAACTGGCCTATGAGGAGGGATTCACGGTTCTTATTGAAGCCAAAGAAATGGAGAAGGGTTAGTATTGTTGATAATTTTTGGTCTGAGCGGGGAGGATGTGTCATAATTTTCTATGGTTCTGTGACACTTATGTCCTTCTATGTTGAAAGAAACTATAACCTATGCACCCTTTGTTATCTGATTTCTTGCAAGCATATGAAACTTCGAACTGCTTGACAGTGGGATCACAAATTTTGTCGTAATTCTCTTGCAATGTCAAAGTATCTTTTTAAAAACTTTGTTCTTGAATTAATTAATAAATTGAGTGTTTCTCTCCAGTCTGCATATTCCCCCTGCTAATTTGGTTTCTCACTAAACAATCTAACATGTATCAGTATGTAGACATATCTTTATGAAAAAACCAAATATTGAGTGGAGGACAATATGCAGGCTGGAACCTTTTTTTCCCCTTTTTTGTTGGCTACGTTTGCAACTTCTCAGCAGGGAATATTGGTGCTTTCTTTGCCTTCTTGTTCTCGAACCATGTATTTCTTTGGAACATCTGCCTTCTTTTAGTTAACTGCATTTTCTTCTTCAATCTTCTTTATGCAAATTGGCAGACTGGGAAAAGCAGTTTTGTCGAGCACAGGACATTCCTTCATCTGTTCCGTAGTTTCCACCGTCTATGGATCTTTATGGCTTTAATGTTCCAGGTTAGTTTTGTGCTTTCATAACCATTTACTGTATTTCATTTGGATGTTGCTTTATCTCAAAATAAAGATTTTTCTTTTTTAATCTTAATGTGCACAGGCTTTGACAATTATAGCATTCAGACATGGACAAATTGATTTGGATACCTTTAAGATATTGCTTAGCATTGGGCCTACGTTTGGTATTATGAACTTTGTAGAGAGTAAGTTGTTTGTTTCTTCTACTTAGGGCTCCAATGATGGATAAAGGTTCTTCTACCAAAAAAGAAAAAGATTCAAATAAAAATGCTTATCTTACCGTTACTTGGATATTTTCCTTTATTCACTTGGTTCTTTGTCACTTTTATAGGTTGTCTTGATGTTCTGCTTATGTTTGGGGCTTATACCACGGCAAGAGGCATGGCTATCTCCAGGCTGGTTATTAAATTCTTCTGGTGTGGCTTGACTGCTGTTGCTGTGACATATGTTTATGTGTAAGTTTACATGTTTAAATTACTTGGATTTCGTGTTTGTTTTCTAGAAACATGCAAATGTATGTTATAGATAATCCAAATAAATGCTTCCTGAATGGCAGGAAGCTTCTGGAGGAAAGAAATCAGACAAATTCAAATTCACTCTACTTTCGGATATATATACTAGTATTGGGTGTTTATGCGGCTTTGCGTGTTATCTTCACACTATTACTTCAGTTTCCAGCATGCCATACTTTGTCTGAAATGTCTGATCAATCGTTCTTTCAGTTTTTTAAATGGATTTATCAGGTATTTTGCTTTCTTGATATGTCTTACATGGACATGATGGTCTCTAACATTTCTAACTTCCTTTTAAATAATTGCAATCTTCAGGAACGATACTATGTTGGACGTGGTCTTTTTGAGAGGCTAAGTGATTATTGCAGGTTTGCTGCAATTTCCATAGAAATGGGTTTCTTTTTATCTGGACCACAAAAAGTGTAGCATAATTTACAAGGCAGAAGGAGAATACTGAGAAAATTGGACTTTTGTTGTTTTTGATGTGTCCTACCTGTTTATAAGTTGCCTTGTTAGCAAATCTTCTTAGAAATTTCTCTATGTTTCCCTGTGCAGCAGCATTGTGTTAGCCTATTTTGCTTTGTCTTTATTGTGAGGTGTCTCTTTCTTGGTTCAAACTACTCGTTAATGGTGCTTTATTCTGTTATTTTCTTGTGAGGTATCTCTGTTAGGTGTAGCCTGGCATATGGTTCAGTAGTTGAATATTTGAATTTGTTTTTTTATAAAAGAAGAAACTTTAGTAAAAGAATAGAGGGAAGAAAAGGTTACAAAGGTGGAGAATAAGTCATCATCTTAAGTAAGTAAAGAATTAGTAAAAAATAAAGAACAGAAATTGAAAACATGTAGTAAAATCTCTGCTTTATCCTCTGTGCATGGTGGCATCCCAATTACAATATAGGTATAAGATTATTAGTCTATTACAAGTGTTTTATGTGAACGTTTGTGCATTAGGTAGTGGATGGATGAGATTTGTAGGATCAATAGACAATGATTTTCAGCTAATAGATAATATCTTTATACGTGCTTGTTAGATTGTCCTTTTCTAAAATTTGGATTGGGATTTTTATATTATTGCTGGACCATATAATATTGCTTTTTACTCGTCTGTCTCACACCAGTTGGGGTAGGTAAATGGTGCATTTTGGAGGGCGGATGTGTTGAATGGATGAAAAAGGTTCTATCCTGGTGGATAGTGGGGCAAGTATGAGGGAGACGCCACACTTGCTCCGTACCTGCCATGCTCCGCTACACACCTAAAATAGTCCATATAGCTAGATATCTTATTTGGAATATTATATGCGTTGGATAAATTTTGTATTTTGGACTTCAGGTTTGATTTTAAGTTTGTTATCTTATGTTGACTCTTCTTTTCGTGAAGTTGTATATTATTTATCTAACCAATGAATTTTATAAATTAAACGGAGTGGGTAAATTGGAACAGATTATAGGATGGGGCTTTCACATGGGTGGTGACAGTAGGGTAAATATCTTATTCCCACCCTGGCTATAGAGTAGGTATTGGGGAGGGTGACAAGGTGGTGGAGCACGAGTTAGAAGGGTTGCCTGCCCCACTACCATTTCTACACATGTCATTCCTAGTTAGGTTTGTTTAAATAACCATATTACATGTGAATATTTTTTAACTTGCCTCAGCTTTTCTATAGTTCATACAGAGCATGTTTATTTATTTGTTTTATGGCTGCACTTAAGCTTTTAAAAGCAATTGTTTTATGGGTTTGATTCTTCTAATGGTATAGACTCACGATCCTAAGTACTGCAGGTATGTAGCATTTTGGTTGGTGATCTTTGTATGCAAATTCACATTTGCTTACTTTCTCCAGGCAGGCTATTTTCTTATATTCATATCTGCTGCTTAAGCATCTACTGGATATTTTATTCTGAAGGAAAAAATCTATTCTTATATTCAGTGGTATGGGAATAGGTTGTATAACAGATGTTATTGATACTCAGTGTTTATGTCATTGCAGATCAGACCACTTGTCAAACCCACCAATATTATTGTTGGTCTTAGAGATGTTAAATATTCGTGGCATGATTTGATCTCAAAGAGTAAGTATGTTCTTTTCAATGAGATAAGAGTGAGTTTATTTCGTCTTTTATAAAAGAATGGATTGAGTTTAGTTTTCATTGGAATTTTTATGTATCATTGAGTTATGTATTAATCATTTTTGCAGTAAATATTATAGATGCATATATTTACACTATAAAAACATGGTATAGAAAAAATAATTTGTGCAGACTTAACTATGTTTTGATTCGAAAGTACTTCAATGGAAACCTACGATATTTAGTTAAGTGACTTATACCGATTTGGAAATGCATAAGGGGAAATCTTAAAATATTAAGAATCCTCTTTCAGAAAAAAATGGACAGTGGGGATTTGTTGAAAAAGTTATTATAACATCTCGTGTATCTCATTCAAATTGAGCTCAGTTCACAAATACCTGAAAAACTTCACATAAGGTGGCTTCTACTCATGTTCGATCATTTAATATCTGATAATTGCATGAGTAGCAGGAGGGCCACTTCGCAGATTTTTTAGTTAGTATTGACCAAATTGCTGGTGATTGGGTTGAGCCATATAATGAAACTACATGATCAGATGTGATTTACTAGGCAATCACTTAACATTTATCTTACGTGACACATAAGTTTAACATATTTTGAGTAGAAAGCATTCTTTATCATGATGTACAGAGGAGCTTTTTCTTCCGGAACTTTCTTTATACATTTCAAAATTGATTTTGCTTCAAGGTCCCTTGATTTCAAAAACTTAAGCTGGCTGAATCCTTGGTGTTTGATGACTACAATCCCTATGTTATCATTCTTAATTTGTTGTTTCATAAAGTGATCTTCAACCTGTTATGGAACTCCTCTCTTCAGGAGGAGTAACACTATTGATTGTGTTTGTGATTGTGATTGTGATTAACTGGACTCAAAAGCCAATATGCTGAATCGGTACTTGGTTGTGGAATGCATTTATTCTCATCCTGTGATAATTTGAATAGGACAGGGGAGTATTTTCTTTTTGCTGATCAATCATGTGAAATAGTTTTGATTTAGTTGTTAGTGGTGCTGGAAAATCCATATCCTAGTTTTTGCTGTTACTGATAATGGAGTTTGCATGTGCTGATTTTCTTGTGGTGTTGCAGATATAATAATGTCTTGACTGTCGTTA